AAATTTACAAATACTAAAATATCAAAAGGTCTTATAGTTTAACTTTCAACCTTCTAAGAAAAAGATGGTGAAAATATATTAATATAGATTCTACAAGTTGATCTCTTATTCAAGGCTTGCAAGATAGAGAATAAAGAATACTTATAGTATATTATAACAAGATTAAAAGATACTATGTTATAGTAGTATTTAAATTAAATACAATTCATTCTGACAAAAACCTTTTAAAAACTAGAATTTGCTTATAATAGGGATTAAAGCTGTATTCCAACCCCCATACTATCAACAACTCTTGTGCTGACAACTAAGAAACCTCAAGCAAATATCAACAGTTTAAGAATATGTATCATATTTCAAAAATCTGTTAGAACAGATAGAAGAAATATATAAGGCAGATAAGGTAATATATTTTACCAAAAGACTAAAGAGAGTCACAAAAGCAAAAATCAACTACTGGGCTCCCAAAATATTGGATGATGCTGTAAAACTTGCAGCTAGTTATGATTTAGCAATATATGGAGTTGTCAAACCTGTTTGCAATAAGTTTGAGAGTAGTGGTTGGATGAACCAAAGAAGAAGTAAAATAACAAGGCAGTCTCTAAAACCATCTGTAGAACAAAGCCCTATATCAATAAAATTGAACAGGGCTAAAACTAGGAATAATTTCAAGAAAACGTCTCTAAAAAGAAATAAGAAAAAGATATTAACAAATGAATAGAAACAAAATTATAGAAGAAATATTCAGTGTTTTGTATATAAGAAAAAAGGATATTAGACAAAAGACAGATATAAAAAGAACAAAAAAAAGAAAAACAAAGTAAACAGGGTTGAGAAAATTAAAAGCAAGAAGATAAATACCAAAAATGATATTAGTAGATATAACAAGACCTGTTAGGAAGATCTTCTCAAGTTGAGGAAGAAAGTTCAAGGACAAGAAGCATTAATTCTTATTAATTCTGAAGCTTCAAAGGATTTTATTAGTTCAAGTTTTGTTAAGAAGATGGGTCTGTGCAGGATAAAAGAAAAGAGCTTAGAAATTATCAAATTGGTAGATGAGTTGTATTATAAATTACAAGGAAGTGTAACAACTATTTCTTTGCAAGTACAAACTTACAAGGATATAAAAAAAAATATTGAGATCTTATCTTTTCAAAAATATGACTTGATTTTGGATAAACTGTGGTTGTATGATCTAAGCCCAAGAATTAATTGAAAGAACAATCAAATTAAAATTAGAACAAGCTGACATATTCATAATTTAAAAGCTGATATATCAAAAGTATATTAGCTAATCTTAGTATTTTGGTAACAATTTTCACAAGCAAAGAAGGTAGATAAGTTATTTGCTGTATTTGTAATTCAGAATAGAAGTAAAAAGAAGCAGGGAATCTAGTAACAAGTATCTACATTTTTGAAAATAAATATTATAATATATTTCTAAAAGAGCTATCTAATAAATTACTTTCAAAAAAAAAATGTAGACTATAAAATCTAATTAAAGAAAGGATTATAGCCATCTTTTGGCTCTATCTATAGAATGTCTATTTCTGAGATGCAAGAACTAAAAAAACAGATTAAAGACTTCTTGAAAAAAAAAATTATAAGGCCAAGTGTGTTATCATTATAGATGCCATGAAAATAGATTTTTTAAAAAAAGCCTATTTCGTCTTCATTAAAGCAAATTAAAATTTTTTATAAGAAAGAGCAAATCTAATTTATATAATTATATTCTTTATACTTTCATTTATTTAAAAAAAGTATCAAAAAATTTTATCTTTTAAATAAAAGTAAGTCAAAACAATTTTGTTTTCAAATTTTAATTTCAGGTTTTAAAGCCCAAAATAATTTCATTTTTATCTATAGTTGCTATATAGTGCTTTAGTGTTGTTTGTATTAAAAAAAGATAGAATGATGAAAATATGTATTGATTATAGAGCCTTAAATAAAATAACAATTAAAAATTAATACCTGTTACTTTGCATCGATAAATTGTTAGATTAATTGTATAATGCTAAATATTTTTTCAAAATTGACCTCTGTTCTGGTTATTACCAGATAAGGATAAAAGATAATGATGTACTCAAGACCACTTTTCATACAAGATATAGTTATTTTGAATTTTTAGTTATGCTTTTTGAATTGACCAACACCTTCACCATATTCATAAGATTAATGAATAACATATTTAAAAAGCTATTTAATAAAAGTGTCATTGTTTATTTAGATAACATATTAATATATAGTAAAAATAAGGAGAAATATTGTTAGCATATACATCAGGTTTTTAACATACTCAGAAGATACTAGTTATATGGTAAAATATCTAAGTGTAATTAGAGAAAACAAGAAGTAGAATTTTTAGGTTATGTTGTATTATGTAAAGAAATAAAAGTTGATTCAAAGAAAGTTAAACTTATATAGAAGTGGCCTATGCTTACTAATATATATAATGTTATATTATTTTAGGCCTTGCTAGCTACTATTAAAAATTTATAACAGATTTTTCTAAAATAGCTACACCATTAACCAAGTTACTGCATAAAGATCAAAAGTTTAAATAAGGTAAACAACAAGTTAAAGTATTTGAAAACCTTAAAGAATTATTAATTTCACCTTCAATATTATTAATTTCAGATCCTAGTAAGATATTTTTAGTTATAATGGATATTTCTAATATAGCAATTGGAGCTATCTTGTCACAAGATCAAGAAGAAGAAGGACAACCTATAGTATTTGAGTTGTAAAAGTTAACACTAGCAGAACTTAATTACTCTGTATATAAAAAAGAGTTGTTAGCTAAAAAAAAAAGAGTCTTGCTAGCATATATAATATATATAAATAACAAAGTATTGTTACTAAGAATAAAGTACAGGCTACAATATTATATCTTTTCATATGATATTTATAACAAACTACAAAGCTCTATCTTTAAGTTGACAAAGAACAAGACCAATATGTCAAATATAATTTCAAATATAGTACTAATACACAAAAATTTTGTAGGTTTAAAGTCAATATAGCAAAACTAGTTAGTATACCATATAATAGAACTTAATATATACCTAAGCAGCTATAATAAATTAGAGTGAGTAACATGGATGAGAGTAAAACAAACACAACTAGATTACAAAAGTAAAAAATACATTTTAGCTTTAGATAAAGAAAGATTAAAAAAAAAAGAAGTTAAGAACAATCTAATATATAAGATATTAAAAGAAGCAAGCAATCTAGAAATAAGCATAAAAGCTACAGAACTAAAAGAAATGTGTACTCTAGAGAAGAAAGAAACAGATTTGGTAGATTTGCTTGACAAAAAAAATATAAATAGCTTCTGCAAGAAAAAAAAAATAAATATTTTTCTACTTGAACAAATTGTAAATACAAAGCAAAAAAAGCTATTATAATGGTGACAAATAAAAAAAATTAGAGAAGTTCAAGCAGTAGGCAAAAAACAAAATTAGTTTAAAAGTATTGAAAAGTGAGTTTTAGAAAACTATGAACAAAAATCAATAAAAGAAGAATATTATACAAACATTGCAGAAAGCCTAGAGATTAAAATATATCTTCAATATTCAGAACTCTTCCTGACAATTCCTCATATCAAAATTTTACAAAAAAAAACTAAACTATAAAAACTTTATATATACTATATTTTATAAAAACAAAACTTTATTTAGTTGCTGTCAGGTACAAAGTCTATTCACTGAGTGTCTTGTTCTTTAAAATAGAGTTAAAAAAGATAATAAGCAGACACCTAAGTAAGGCATTTTGGCAAGCTATAGTACTATTAAGCAAAAATGTAATAGAGTATTTCTGAAGCTTTGTCAAATACTACAAATATGAAAACAGAAATAGATACTTAGTAAAATATAGTATTATCAGGATTGGTCAAATTACTGGTCAACCAAAAAATTATTGGTCAAACTGGTCTGGTAAAATTGATCAAATAGTATGATTGAATTGGTCAAATAGTCTAGTCTATTAATTAAATAAATTTAGTATCCAAATTAAATATATATATATATATATATATATATTTAAATATTCTTTGACCAATTTGACCAATACTAAACTCTTTGACCAACTAGTCAAATTGGTCAAACTGGTCTGGTCAAGCTTGACTATTGACTGGTTCATACCAACCCTATATATAATATATTAATTTTTTTTGTAATACAATATATTTTTAAATAAAAAAAATTATACTATCTTATATCTGCACTAAGAAGTATAGAAAAACTTTTGTAAAGCACTATAGTAATTAGCAAAAAGATTTTTTTTTATAATTGTTTAAAATTTAATTTGTAATTTTTTTTATACTATAAATTTTTAAAATAGTAAGCATAGGTATTATTTTAATTTTTGATCAAAATTAAGCTTAATTTGGGCCAAAAATCAAAATAACATCTATTATGACAAAAATTATTAATTAAAAAAGAACAAAATTTTTATAATTTATAAATTAAATTTGAATATTTAAATAAGAATCTTACTAACCATAACCAGTAGTAATTATTACTAGAGTGCTTATATTTCAAAAATGTACTAAGTAAACTGGATTGGGTATCCTAAGTAAAAATATTCAGGACCCCCAAAAACCTCACGAAAACTGAATTCGGGATCTTATATTAGCTCTATATTATTTTATATAAAAAAAAAATAATTCTCTAATTCCTAACCCTAACACTAAATATATCTAGGGGTGATGATGATCACCACTGATTATGTGTACTATATTTCTTTAAATAATATGCAAAAATTTATATAACCGGAGCTTAATGTTTTTATTATACTAAAAAAATAGATCAAAAACGTAACTATATAATGAATGTGTGCGAACAGACGCCAAGTTAATATTCATTAGATAACTATTGATACATCAAAAACGTAACTATAATATCACCTTGACTAATCATTAAATGTCCTTCGCTACGTTCCGGACAATAAATTCACTCGATACTAGGCTGATGCATTGTATATCCGGAGCCTATAATTATCGAATATAGTCCTGCATCAAAAAAAGTAACTTTTGTCAAGTGTGCAGACAGACATCCTTTTTCAAAGTTATTTTCTTGATTTTGTTTTCTTACTAATCAAAGTCGTAACTTTTGATGCATTACAGCTATTATCATAATTCCTAGGACACCTGTAAAAATTTGCCGAATGATCTTTCGGCCGATCCGGTTAAGTTATTGATTCCGTATAATAATAATAAAATAAACTATATATATATTTATATAACGATCATTTTACCATAACGATAATGCCAACGATTTTAAATTTTCGTTCGAATGCTTGTCCAAAAATGTCTGGTGTACTTTAGTTTGTATAAAATTTATGGAAAAAACTGTTCATGTCAACCAATAAACCTTAACAAGAAGGAAACGAATATAATTTAGGCTTTTATAACAAATATATTACTTGAACAGGTGCCGCTAATAAAAAAGTTAAATATGATCGACTGGTTTAAGGTTAAGATATTATTATTTGTCGAGAATGCATGTCTTTGACAAGAAATAAAAAATAATTAGAAATAAATAAATGCTTTCATTTGAACGAAAATGATCTTGCCAAAGAATAGGAATTGAAATTTAGTTTAATTTTTTAAAAACGAATTTTCATCTTCGACAAGAAATGAAAAAATAATTAAAAATAAATAAATGCCTTCGTTTGAACTAAATGGATCTTGCCAAAAAAAAATCAAGTATAAAATAAAAT